CTTGTAGGGACAGCGGGAGTAGCAGAGGCTACAGTGAGGTAGAGAGTCCTCGATCTAAGCCAGATTTCTGCTACATACAGATGCGGGAAGCCCTGTGCAAGGAGAGCTTCAGAATTTCAAAGAGAAGAGGGAAGCTGTGTGCGCGTGCATGTGCGTGTGCGTGTGTGCATGGGCACATGTGGTGTAAGCGTTATATGGGAACTCCCACTTTTCAAATGTCATTTCAGAGCTTAGTGGAAGCCATCCCCGTAAGGCTAAACAAAACAGGTCTGTTGGCCAAATTTAGCCTTGAGGTTCCTCCTGTTTTGGACCTCCGATTTACACCTATCCTCCTAGCCCTGAGCTGAGTTGAACGTACAGGCAGTTAGTTCTTCCTCGTGTCCCTCCAAAACATGTCCCTTAATGGCTGCTGATCCCAGGCTTCCTGACACCGCCACCATTTTCCAGAGTTCTTCACACACCTTCCTGTGTGGACACGATAAATAACTCTTCTAACAACACGGAGTTAACGAGGCCTTGAGCTAATTCAGCAGGGTCACCATCTGGGAGTCATCAGAAACAGGACTGTCAGCGCTGTAAACACTTGAGGCTTCATAGAAGACACTGACTCGTTCTAAACGAATCAGTGCTGCCAGTCAAGATTTGCAGCAGAGATTCGAGAACGAGACATCCATTTAACAACAATAACAAAAACAGTGAGGATGAAAACCGTACAGTCATAATAACAAGGGGCCTAAAAGCAAACTGTGACTTCCCTAATAAGGCAGAGACCGAAGCTGGCTCCCTGGCGGTCAAGCGCCAATACGATTAATCAGTCTGTTTCCAGTTTTCTCGAGACAGCAATATTAACAGTTTGTTTTACTCTGTTTATACGGTGCTGACAGGTCTTCGGCATGTTGGGCCTACTTGCTGGTGATTAATGACCACTCTCATTCTGAAGTCAAACTGGGCAGGAAGAAAATGCCTTTTATGACTAGCTGGGAACCGAATTCTCGGGGATTTCTGTTGTTGTTTTCCTGTTCCCCATCAGCACCTCCCTCTGTTAATCTCTTTATGAATGTCTGAGAATATTCATTCTCCCCTAACTGGTCCAGCTTCTTTCCCTGCCCTGAGATGCTTTGTCCTCTGCTTAAAGAGGGACCCTAAAATGTACACTATGAATGAGCTCGGCATCTGGAAAGGTACTGTTGGCTTATTTTGTTATTAAAAATCTCCTTTCTGTAGAAATGAAAGAACAGGTGGGAAGTGGGTCTGGAAATGGGAATTTTAGCTTATTAAGTAGGTGATGATCTCTTTTCATATTTACAGACGAAGAAGACAGCAGAGTTGAAATGATATACTGGTTGCTGCAGGAAGTACTGTCACAGAAAGTCTGGGAGATCACTGCATTAAACAGTCATATTTCAACAGAGGTCAAAAGATTTGAGATACTATAAGAGGACCCACCCTGTCCACATACTTTCCCACTACTTATCACTAGTATACTGATCTTTTCTATTCACTTTGTGTGCTTGTGTGTTGGTGCACACGTTCCTGCTACGGGATGTATGTGCAAGGCTAAGGACAAGTTTGTAGGCGTTGGATCCTTCCTTTACCACATGGGCTCTGGGGATTGGACTCGGAAGCAAGTGTCTTCACCTGCCTGCCACCCTTCTCTTTGTGTTTGCTTGTTTGTTTAGACAGAGTCTTGCAAGAGAGCCCTGGCGGAACTCATACTCTCTGTGTAGCACAGAATGGCTTTAAATTTGTACACTTCCTGCCTTAGCTTCGTAAATGCAGGGATGACAAGTGTGTGCCACCACATCCAGTCACCAAATTATTTTGTTTATTTTTACTGTACTTTATGTTAGTGTGACAGGATCTCTAGCAGCCTGGACTGGTCTTGAATATACTACATATAGCCAAGGGTAACCCTGAACTCCTGATCCTCTCACCTCTACAGACCTAAGTCCTGGGATTCAGGGATGTACTATCCCAACATCATCTTAACAGTACCTAAGGGTAGGGAACCTAAAAAGATGAAAATTCAACAAAAGAGAATGGGCTTCTTGGAAGGTTTGCTAGGAGACAATATCTCATTGCCTGCACTCAGGATCAGTCACACACACACACACACACACACACACACACACACACACACACACACACACACACACACACACCCAGCAGCTTTCTAGCCCACTCCCCTGTGTGCGTCTCTCCTCATACAGCAACAGCACTGCATTAGTTCTGGCAGAGGGGACATCAGGAGTGGCTTTTCGGTGGAACATTGAAGTCAGAGGTAAGAACCATCTGATCTGGCTGGGCGGTGGTGGCGCACGCCTTTAATCCCAGCACTCAGGAGGCAGAGCCAAGTGGATCTTTGTGAGTTCGAGGCCAACCTGGTCTACAGAGAGAGATCGAGGAAAGGCGCAAAGCTACATAGAGAGACCCTGTCTCGAAAAACCAAACCAAAACAAAGAACCATCTGATCTGAAAGCACCATTAATAATAACAATAATAATAATACTGTATAGTGAGTGCCTACTATGTACCAGCACCTTGCAAATGCCTGAGTATGCAAACAACTGTGACTGTACAGAGTGGAACAATAGTCTTTGTTGGAAGTCCGAGATATGAGAGAAAGTAGAACAAGAGACTTGGCTACGTTTGGGCAGACTTTAAACTCCTATGTGAACATCAATAATGCAGCTAACGTAAAGGTTTGTCTGGGGAGGGAAAAGTGATACTGGCTAGACTAGTTATGAAGTTTTGTGACCATTTCTGGGAGAGGAAAGATTTACCAGTTATATCCGAAACTGAAGTAGACATTTTTTTTAATGTAGCAAAATTGGAGTTTATCGAGAAAGGTTTTAAAACAGATGTAAGCAGGAAGGGGAGAAGGAAAAAGACTCACTTAAGGAAACTGTACTAAATGCCTAGAGTAGCCTGGCCTTCCCAAGAGAGGTGCCTGACTAAATATTCTGGCTGATTTGATCAGTTCTTTCTCTAATTTACTCATTCAAACTCTTTGTGGGTCTGGATGGATGGGCTGGTTAGACATCACGATGAGAACAAACAGGGAAGCAAGGACAAACGAATGAGGAGACGTCTTCCTCACACTTAGTGGGCGACTGGTCTTGCTCAATGTCCAGTGCTCTCGAGTGACATTTAATAGCCATCGGCCTGTCTGTCTGGACGCTCAAAACTATACACGTTGCTTTATGCAATGGCCATGAGCAAGCCCGCCCAGAAGAAAGAAGTGAATGAAAGGACAGGAGGACGGCCATCTTCGTTCTCATGGCTTTGGGAATAGCCTCCCATGGCCTCTGTCCTAAACCCCACTTCTCTCTTGGTGGTCTGGCTACAAGGCATAGTACCCTGGGGCAAAGCACCAGATTGCTGGAGTGGAGGCTGCTAGTCACCCACAAGAGAAGGAGTCTTCTACTTAATTTGCAAATGCATGCCCTATTTGGAATACTTTGACCAAAGCTAAACGTTATTCTGGAAAGGGCTCTAGCAGGAGTCCCATGCGAAGTGTGCATCATCTTCAAATATAGGTGCAAGAAACATAAACTCTGTGCAAAGTCAGAAAGGACTGAAGGAGCAAATAAGAATATTTTGAGGGATTAAAAAAAAGTCTTTATCTAATTCAGTTGCTAAATGAATTGAAGACACAGAGTTCTACTGTCTTGCAAACAAAGTCCTGAGATTTTTTTTTTTTAGATGTATTTATTTTTATTTCATGAGTATGGGTGTTTCGTCTACATGCATGTATGTACCGTGTGTATGCAGTGCCCACCAGAAGAGGGCACAGGGTACCCTGGAACTGGGGTCACTGGCAGTTGTCAGCTGCCATGTTGGCTGCTGGGAGTCAAACCCTCCGGGATACAAGCACGTGATTTTGACTGCCGAGCCGTCTCTCCAGGCCTCCAAAGGAGCTCTGAGCTTTTAAGATCTGCCTCGATTATATGAAAATATGTCTCTATTACTTTCTGGAAAAACAACTATGTAACCGAATGAGAAGTGTTTCTCACTCCATGGCAGCTGACTTTTCATTATTATTTCATAAGAGCTCATCTGGAGAGCATGTCCCTTTTACTATCTAGATTTAGCTGTTTCTGAAATGCTTCTTCAGATGCCTCAGGTCATGTCAGTTTCTGTGGATCTAATTGAATCTCTATCATTCTGATTCTTTCCAAAGGTTCTTGGAGGTAGGTTGACTTCCAAAAACATTTACTATGACTAATGTATAAGGCTTGTCATTTCTATTAAAATGAAAAAAAATCAAAAGGTATTTTAGGGACTTATCCATGCCATCAACAATTACTTCAAGTATAAGCTAGTTCGTATATGCCAAGGGTGAGAATTTAAATGCTCGTAAAATACAACTGTAAAAGAAGGAATTTTTTATGAGACCAAGCACGTTTCAACTTCATTTTAAGGATGTGAGTTTGGCTTGGCCTTGTGTGTTCTATGAACGATGAGCTGACTCAGTTACAGAAAGAAGAGCAGCCTGTACCAAGTGCAAGGTGAAGGGCAGAAGCCTAGGATGTGCATTTTAATGCCAAGCTTTCCTGCCTGTAGCAGTTACAAAGTTTGTATATTTGACTTTGTATAGAAAAAAAAAGATTTGAATACCCACGTTTCTAAAAGTGCTTTTTAGTTGTGAAGTTTTTCAAACCTGCTCATGCTTACGGCTGGTTACTGGTAAGCAGTAAGTAAAGCCTAGAAAAGCTCTGAGACCTGCCTATATAACCTGTGAAAAGGCCCTGGGTAGGACCTTACATTAGCATCCAGGTAGGGAAGGCCTTACTGCTCTGAGCTCTCAATCATGGGTTCAAAGCTTTGAGTTAGGCTGAGAAGTGATGTTCATTTTTGCTGGTCAGAGGAGAAAGTAAAATGAGCCAGAGGCAGGAGGTGGAGGAGGGAGACACACGGACCTGGGAAAGGGCTGCCCTGGAAAGGTGCTCAGGGGGTACCCGACCAGTGGGCGTCCTGGGCTGGCACCCTGGGCTTACCTGCGGCGCAGGTCCTCGGCCACCGCCGCCCGGCAGCTGAACAGATAGGCCCGGAGCGACTTCAGCTGCTGCCGCAGCCGCACCACAGCGGCCAGCGGCTCTGCGTGGAGGTACAGTATGGGGTTCTCCTGCTGGATGTCGATCAGGGGCTCTTCATACACGTACTCCAGGAACTCCTTGGCCTGCTTGGACACCTGCAAAACAAGCCCTGGCCATCAGTGCTGGTGAATCACCCAGCTTTCGGTACCCGCCCGCTCTGCCGGGGAACCATACTGCAGTGATAAAGCTATGTGTTTCTATACATGGCTAAGTGAAGAGGCCCACAGAGGAACTAAACACAGCGCAGACCACCTCTTTTCACCTTCCAGAAGCTCAGCTAGCAAGCGTGGAAGGCATTTACTCACTCCATAGCTCAACTGTGCAAGTAATGATACGAACCCACACCTGTGATGGCACAGAAAGAACCACACAGATCCGTCAGACCAGTCATGTTCTGTTTTGATTGGTCTTATATATCCTACTGTAGGGACCTAAGACATGACCACAGGAGGAAACTAGGTGAAAGGTACTCGAATGCTTCCTGTCTGCATGTTCAACTTCCTGTGAAGCTGTAATTATTTCAAGCAATGTGGGAAAAGAACTCACAGTCTTTAAAAACTACATAAATATAGGTGCATGCACATATATTTCACAATACTTTAAAAAAGTATCTTTTAAAACAGAAAAACTACACATATTGTGAAATATTAATAGGAATATTGAGATAAATAAATGGGTATTCTCAAGAAAAGAAAAAAAAAGGAAGGAGGGAGGGAGAAAAATTATGTGGAAAGTGAATTGACTAAATAGAATGGCTGTAAACGTGGGCTGATGCAGTCAACATATCCATCCAGCTCTTTTTTTTTTTTTTTGAGTGTTTTTTTTAAATGGCATTGTTCTAAGAGGTAAACAGTGCATTGGCAATACAATGCACCAGAGAAAGAGAGAGAAACTTAAATAGCAAAGAGCACTATCACGTGGGTACCTGGACTCTCTCTCTCCATGCCAGTTTCCTGATACGTGGGTGTAAACTGCCTAGTGATACCCAGAGTCGGCTGAGCCTCTACTTATGGAGCTAACCCTCTCCAGAACTTCCCACTAACCCTCTCCAGAAGCAAGGCTGGGATTGATCCCTAAAATAAACACCTCTGTTCATTAAAAAGAAAACTGAAAATCCACCATGCTTTCTTTACATTCCACAGCAGAAGCTTGCTAATGAAGAGAGAAAATTCAAGCCCTACCCTCAAGGGGCTATTTAGTACAAAAGATAAAGGACTCCAAACAAAAACCACATGCAGTCTGCCATCACTAGAGACATGGGGCCTCACAGGTAGCTTAAGGGAGAGGAATCACCTTTCCTGGGGAACTAAGAGCTAGGTAGGCCTGGAGAAGCAGGCGACACTGGATCTAGCTGTGGAATTAGAGGTGGAAACTCATTTGACAGAATGGACAGGGAATTAGGAGGAGGGGACAGCAGGCTGACAAAATCACCAAGTGTCGTCCCCCCCCCCCCATGTATAATATGGAAGTGTGATTACTAGATGTGAGGCTATTATGCACTAATTAAAAGAATGCTTCTTACACACGAACATAAGGTTCAGCATCACTATCTTCTTCTTAAAGTGGAAAGCTCACTTCTAAGTTTACATTTCTTACAAGACTACAAAAGTACACCATTTCTTAAAGTGCGTGCATGTGTGTGTGTGTGTGTGTGTGTGTGTGTGTGTGTGTGTGTGTTCATTTACTTCTGAGATATCTGTTGTGCAGTGTGACCCTATAATATCCTGCAGAGAGTGGCAAAGTTAAAGGAACTTAAATAGACTGAAAATCCAGGTTACAAAACAGCCCCCAGAGTTGGCCAAGACCTTTCGTTGCTTTAGCAATCAGAAACAAGAAGGTACAGAGTGCAGAAGCCTCTGTTCTCTCATCTGTGAGGCAAAGACATGAGCAGATAGCAGACAGCATGGCGGGCCAGGCCTTCAGGGAAGAACAAAGCAGTCATGGCCGGGTCCTCAGGCACCTCCCAGCTCCAGCTCCATGCAGAAAGACAAAATTGAGTCGTTTCTGAATTCCATGTTGTATTCACTGTGTTTAAATATCTGCTGCACTTAAATATCTCCGATGAGGAAAAAAAGCCTCATGGTGTTCAGGGAAGTGAAGTACAATCCACTTGAAACTGTTGCTAAAAAATGATGTATTGTACAATTCAATTAGTCTTCCTGGGTGTACAGAACAGTGTTTATACTGAGTCAGGGCCCCGCTGAATTAGGTTAACAATGCTACCTTTTAGTAGGTGAACAGAAGGACAAAGGGCACTGGCCAGTCTCCCAGGCCTTAAAAGGCTTCTCTCTTCAGGTGCTACTTAAGCCCAAAAGCAAAAAGGAAAAGAAAAAAATGTTTTACAGAGACAGTAAAAGCGGGGACTAATAGGACGGACAGCAGCTACTGATAGCAGCCCTGGCGAACTGAAATGACAGAAAAGAAAGAGACAGCTGGCTTCAGGAACATCCACGGCACTGCCTTCCTCCCCCAGAACACATCGCTGACATGCTTGCCCCCGTACGTGAATACATCCAGAGCTGCTGCAGCCGCCACTTTGACGACCAGGCTGAGCTCAGGGTCTAGGTCTTCAGAGCCCAGGCTCTGTAGTTTTTAGGAAAATTTGCAATTTGGTATGAAATAAATGCTAATTTTTGCAAAACAGAGCTTTATAATTAATCCCCTTCTGATACCTTGAGCTCTCAAAGTTTTCTACCCTCTATTGGCAAGATGATTTAACACTCAAGCTCCACTATCATTAAAAAGCATTTTCCAAAAAGAAAATCTTTTAAATGAGTATTAGCCCAAAGAAGAAACCAATCTCTTGTTAATCTAAGGGAAGAAGCCAGTGGTATTCTTGGGTAAAAGTTCCTTTCCTGTTAGTCTAAACATGACATGAATCACATGTTAACACCAGGCGTGTCCCAATAAATAGCTGAGCTACTGTCCTTCAGGCAAAGCAAATGATAAAAACCAAAAATGCCAAAGTGCTACTTTTTATTTATTATTATCTTGTGAATGTGTGTATATGGAGAATTGGTAGGCTGGGGCAACATTTTCACATCATGTTTTGCCTGTGGAGGTCAGAGGACAACTTTGAGGACTGGATTCTCTCCTCTCGAGGCTGGTTCTGGGGACTGTACTGTGTGCTAGCCTAGCCTAGCCTGGCCTAGCCTGGCCTAGCCTAGCCTAGCTAGGAGGAATTTCCTAGGAGGAAAAGGCTGAAGAAAACACAGGAGGGCATGATCTTAGCAGGACAAGGAAAGGTAACGATAATCTAGTCACTTTTCATCAATCTGTGGTCCCAGGATTACTAGTCCCACAAAAAATGATGTTTTCAGGTGTTAGGAAAATAAATAGGCTGCATAGCACTTTCTTTTCTTGGTGATTCAAAGTGAAACATGTTTTTCTATTCAAACTGAGACACTAGTAAAGAAAACCTGCTTGGGCTGGGTTAGGATGTAGCTCAGTAGTCAAGACAAGGAGGAAGAGGAAGAATAGGAGGGAAGTAGAGTGGTAGGAGGAGAAGGAAGAAGAAGGGGAGGAAGAAGGAGTAAGGGGAAGAAGATCACTGTGGAATATTCCTTTACGCTGTGTGAATATATGTCTCTGTGATTGGTTTAATAAATAAGCTGACTGGCTAATAGCTGGACAGGATAAGGTAAGGAGGAGGGGCAAACAGAGAATGCTGGGAAGAAGAAGGGTGGAGTTAGAGAAGCAGTGAGCAGACACAAGATGGACATGCAGTACTGAGAAAAGGTACCAAACCACATGGCAAGGAATAGAAAAAAATGGGTTTATTGAAAATTTTAGAATTAACTAGTAACGAGCCTTTGCTATTGGCTAAGCATTTATAATTAATATTAAGCCTCAGTGTGGTTACTTGGGATCAGCTTGTGGGACAGAAACTTCCACCTACAAATGGCATTCAAACATTTGGCACCTACATCCACATAAAACTGGAGAGAGCTTGGGAAGGGGTTCTAGATCACATGCTTAACTTATCTACTTCTCAAATCTATTTGAGCATAAACAGGACAGTTTTGTTCAATTCCAGCCCTGTAAAGGCAAGAAGAATGGGAGAAAGGTTGATCTGTGCCCCATTCCTCAACTGGAAGCAGAACATTCTTCTCTAACTCACTGTCCCCTCTTACTAAGCTGTAAACTCATTGGCTCTTTCCAATCCTCACCAAGATGGCCTTCCTACAGAGCCCTACTAACAAGTGCTGAACTTGTAAGTGTTGCACAGAATCTACTTTGAAGAACAGTGAATGAATCCATTTTTCTATATTTAATCAAGTCCAGGGACCCCAGATGACTCATTTATGGTCATGTCATGGCAGAGTAGAGCTAGGACTCAGAACCCTGGACACCTTGCTGTGTGTTCAGTAGTTTGCAGTAACAGTTCCTCCGGTTTTTAAGTACTCTGTCATAACTTACTTGCTCACTGCTCTTTAAAAGTGGTGTTCCCTATCCCTCCTCTACCCTTCTTTCCTGTCAGAAGACAGGTATGCTGAACACAGAGACAGACTATAATGCAATTAGGTGGCATTGGCATGTAGGCTTACATTGGAACTTAACTCTAAAACAATGATGAACATGCAAAAGTATTTCATTTTCAAAGCCATTTTTATATTTATGTATTTGTTTAATGTCTTGCCCCCTCCACTGAAATAAAAGCATTGAGGAGGGCAGGAATTACAGCCCCTTTGGGCTACACACTCTTACTTCAGACATAGTTTTAACAGTTTGGTTTTATTTCTAAGTTCATAACACATTTAGAGTCAATAATGAATAAAGGGGGAAAAGCAGCTAGAGGCAATGGAGCTTGTCTTAAATGCCTCTCAAGATGGAGAGATAGGCTTGTGTAACATGGAAAACCCCTAGCTAAATGGAATGTGAATATTCAGGCTAGGACACACAAAACATTTTTTTAAAGAACAGCTATGGGGAAATGGTAAGAAAGTTGAGTGTTTTTGGTCATGTCTGATTGGTATGAATAGGGGGCAGGGAGGTACCTTCATTAGAAATGGCTACAGGATTTAAGGATAGAGTTTAACTCCTTCTCAATCATGGAGCCTAGTTGAGTCTGTAGCACAGACACCAGAAATGGATGCAATCTTGCTTTTGGAAGTAATTAGGATTATTAATACTCCAGAGGACAGCCAGGAAATGATTAAGATGGCAATTTCATTCTGTTCTGCAAACCCATTTCTCAATGGGTAGTCAAGCAGTCACGTATTTGCTATTAAGGGCAGTAGGCAGATCTAACAGAATGATGTCTGGATTTAGAAACTGATAGGTCTAAATTGATCCTCACAGTTAGGAGCATTAAGTTAATTCCTGGTATCTGAGCAAAGACAGACAGATGCTGGACTAAATGGAATATAGTTCCTCAATGCCAGTGACAGATGATCCAGATAAAATCAGCTGGCTGTGTTCCTGCAGTATAATTGTCCCTGGTCCGCTGAGAATGCGGGAAGCAGAGGTCTGACTCCTCATGTGCAGCATGAATGAAGTGAGTGTACCTAATATCTTCAACGAGCTATCTGTTCCCTCAACTCAGGTCTCGCTACTTGAAGGACCACCACGGCCCACGTTACAGGAAGATCCTAGGCTTCGGGACCAGCGAGAGTGGTGGTTTCTGCGGCCTTCCCAGCTCACTGTCCACAGTCATGCCTGCCTTGGCCATTTGCTGGCAGTGCTTCCTTTCTGCTTTTGCTTCATGGACTGCTGTGCATTCTGCTCTCAGGTGTCACCAGCCCCAGCTTTTTCAGCAGACCACAGGGCCAGGACTACAGCACTCGCGTGGCGTGAGATGACAAAGCTCTGCTCCGAGCACATTAATCTAAAGTGAATTCAAGCAGCCTGCCTCCCTAAATCTGTTTTTCTCTCATACACACACGAATAATATATTTATAGTTTCTATTGGGAGTGTCAAGTACAAGATGCACAAGGAGGCCATGGTAGCCGTCTAGGAAAGGAAGGAAGGAATTAGGGGAGGAAATAAGGTTCAAATCAGATTTTAGGATTCGCTGGGCCTAGGTGAGAGCAGGAGAAAGCCAAGAGGTGTGAAACAGACTGCCAGGATATGGATTCGAAGGGGCAGGTGTGATTTTAATGAAGAGACTAGTGCGGATGGATATGGACGAGGGAGCCAGGGAGGTGGACAGGGATTAGAGGTCACAAAGGGAACTGCATCTATTCTGCAGACAAGTATGGAAGGCTGGCCCTAACTGAGCACCCACAATGCACTGAACACTGTGCTAGGTGCTTGTGTGACTAGGACACAGTGCCTGTGTTTAAGAAAACAGGATCCTTATGGCATAGGTACTATTACGATCTCTACTGTAAGATGAACAAACCAAGTTAAGGACTGAGTAAGAAATTCATCTGAGCTCCGAAGACAAGAAGCACTCTTAGAAGGCTACAACTCGTGCTGGGTGACCATGGCTGAGGCCATGAGTGTAGTGGGGCTGAGAGCACGACCTCATGTTACAATTAGGTCTTGGTTCTTGTGTGGCCAGGACACAGGTGGCAGAGGGAATGATGCAGGACGTCGCCTCTGTCTGGCAGTGGAGACCATGGGGCCGTCCGTATGACTACGAACAGTTGCATCTGTAACTGCAGGCAGCATGCACTTGGGGAGCGTGTTGAGTCTGAGTGCCCCGGGGACAGGCTTCCCTCCCAGGCACTCAGCCGCCACTCCTGCTTACCAGCCATGTGCCGCGGGCTGTGCTAAGCCACATCCCCCGAGCTCGCCTTTACAGAGAAAGCACACGACCAGCCATTATTTAGATAAATGTAGTGCGGATGAGAAGAATAACTTCCATTCAATAAGTACTTGTCACACCATGTCTTATACTTCCGGTTGTGAGCCTAGCCTTCAAAGGCCAAGCCATTTCTCTAGCCCTTAGCACACCATTTCTGGTGCTTTTCTTTTTAAACTTAAAAAAATTTAATTATGCCAAGCGGTGGTGGTGCACACCTTTAATCCTAGCACTTGGGAAGCAGAGGCAGGTAGATCTCAGTGAGTTCGACGCCAGCCTGGGCTACAAACCAAGTTCCAGGAAAGGCGCAAAGCAACACAGAGAAACCCTGTCTCAAAAACAAAAACAATTTAATTATGTGTTTGTGTGTGTATGTAAGAATGTGCACATGTGCGTGTAAGTGCCCAAGGACTCCAGAAAAGTGTCCTATCCCCTGGAGCCGGAGGGGATAGACCCCTGCAGGCTGGTCTACAACTTGGGTGCTGGGAACTGAACTCCGGTTTCTGCAGGAACAGTGTATGCTCTTAACCACTGAGTCCTCTATCTAGCCCTCAAATCAGAGGACAGAATCCCCGAGAGAGCTCAAACCACCAGCCTTTTTGTGTTTTTCTTTTAATAACCTACTCCATACAACTCTCAACTATAAATGTGTGAGTTACCAAAAGCATAATGCTCATTTGCTGTGCTGGGCACCATTCTACTTGCTTTACATATTTTGGCCATTCAACCAGCGGAAACTCCTTTGAGGCACTCTTATCCTCATCCTATAAACAAGAAAACTAAGACATCGAGAGTCTAAATAACTCACCCAGGTCACATGTGAGCAAGCAACAAAGCCAAAACTTGAACCCAGGCAGGCTGGGCTCATTTGATACATTAGAAAACTGGGACCCAGGGAAGCTCAGGAATTTGCCTCCCTCTAACCAAACATACAAGAAGGGGCTGAGGGAGGCTTTGGACAGATGTCTAATTAACACCAACACCCCCGGGTTGGTAAAACCACGAAGAGGAAAGGAGGAGCTAAGGGGAAAACAGGGGCAGAGGAATAAACCTTCTGTAAGAGGAGTGCGGTTCCTATGGAAGAACAGGGAAGACTACGTGGCGGGTGAGTGGATGGAATTATTTCCTGATCATCCTCTTTTCCCTAGTAGCAGGAAGGAGTTTCCAGAGGAACCCAGATGGAGACTTAACCCCTGTGAGATCACAGATATTGAGACCGAAAAATCTGATCTCAATCACTGGTGCAAATGGAAGGGGCTGCCATGAGCTCCCAATGCATCTCAGGTTCCTTTTCTCTCCCGCCACATTTCAGCCACTGGCCACCTCCCCTCTGCCTCCAGGATGCCATCCTCACGCTCTCAACTCCATTATTCCAGCCATTCTCCTTCCCCCTGGGGAGTTCACATCGGCATAAGAACCATGCTGTTATCCTTTTCTATCAAAACAAAAGTCAAACCTAACTTGACCCCACTCCCCTCTGAGTTACTCCCCTACCTGTCTCTTCCCTTTGGAGTAAAACTTCTCCTATTCTTGTCCTTCCTTCCTTTCTTCCTATTCTGTGTTGAGCCCTCTCCAATCAGACCTCGGCTCCTGCCTCTCCATTCAGGCCGCTCTCATTAGGGTCACTAATTACCTCCACATGACTAGAGCCAGTGGTCAGTTCTCAGGGCTCGTCTTATTTGACCTATCAGCATCTGTCACAGTTCATCTGGCGCACTTCCTTCACATGGCTTGTCAGGCAGCCTGGGCTCCTTCTACCTCACTGCTCAGCACTCGTGGTCCCCTGACACTCTTGGCTGCCCCTCTTCTCTCACTCTTACGTCGGGGTTGACCCAACATTGTCTCTAGCCTTCCTCTTCCCCTGCTGACTTGTGCTTTACCAGCTAACAAATGTGCTCTTCATACTCCTTGGGTGTCCTTCTTGTCTGCTACTCCTTACTGAGCAAAGATCTCAGCACATCCCAGCATCTCTCATGAGCCCCCATTCTTTAATAAACAGGAGGAGCTCTCACAAAGGTCTGAGGATGACTAAGTGCACTGTTCTTCTGTGGGCTGCTACCTGGAAGTCCTCATGGTTTCTCCTAGGATTCCAGTTCTAGGGACTGAACGTGCTTGAAGACTGGCCTTCACCTGAATTGAATTCATCCCAAGAAACACTTTGGGTCTCATATGCCTTCTTCAGAGATCACAGACATCCTCATATATAGTCTTGATTTCCTCATTTTCTAATAAAAATCCTAAGAGAGGCCTCCTACTGTATAGAATTCTCTTAGCACCTATAGTTAATTACCAAGGCCTATAGGTTAAAAACTTTAGGTAGACAGACAGATCAAAAGATATCCATATATTTTAAAATTGGGAAATTAGTAAGAATCACAATCAGAAAGCTTTTAAACAGTGAGCTGTGTAAGAAGTATTAGATTAAACCTGGAGGCACAATTGGGCACGATGGCATGTGTCTGTCAGCTCTTGGAATTTGGGGCCAGGATGAACTACAAAGTGAGACCCTGGGTTTTTTGTTTGTTTTTCAAGTCTGTCTCAACAGGTTTATGTTATCTCTATAATCCACCGACATATACGAACACCTGAACTGCCACCATCAAGTGTTCCCAAGGTTGGCACCTACCTTATATTTTGAAGTGTCCCAGTTGTGAACGACTCGTGCTGGGATGAGAAAGCTGTCGTCCACGTGGCAGCTGCTGCAGTAGTACCACCCACTGTAATTGCACACCTTGGCCTTGCCGTTAGAAAGACCAATAGATCGTTGGCATCCTGTTCAAGGCAAAAGATAGACCATGACTGCTGCTGGACTTTGAACACTGCAGAGCAAGTCTACACAGCCCTTAAGTTAAATGAAGTCTGTAGCAGAAGAGAAGCCGCAGAGAACACATGGGCCTAGGTGTCCCCTCCTTCCCAGGCTAAGAGTCTAAACCCACTCCCACCCCCCACCCCCGCTCCCTCGTCCTAACTAGACCCTTGTCTCTGGTCTCCTCTGATTCTAGTTCTTCTGCACATAGCTCCCAGAGATCCGTTTCTCCACAACTCTGCCTTTATTGCCCCACTTTCCTCCTCAGAAACTAATTTACACTACATACTTGGCTAGGAGCTTCTACTACAGGTTTGCTTGGCTTCCACAACATTCTGAGAAAAGAGACCCTGTTTTCCTATGAAAAAATGAAACATGGTAGTCCATGCCTGTAGTTGCAGAACTTGAGGCAAGAATCTTGGGTTCAAGGCCAGTCTAGGCTACATGACAAATCCCAGAGTTGTAAGCAGTCTGGGCAACGTAGTGAGTTCCTGTCTCAGAGCAACAAAACCAAGAGCTATCAACCTAGCTCAGTTCCTGGAGTACTTGCCCAGCAAAAGCAGCTCTGCATTCAACCCCAGCACTGCAAAAACCTGATATGGTGGCATTTGCATCTGGAGGCATTTCAAAGACAAAGGGAAGAGGATCAGAAATTAAAGGTCATTGTGGCTATATATCAAGTTTGAGGCTAGCCTGGGTGACATAACACCTTGGCCACAAAAAGAAAATCAAAACTAAACCAAAACAAAAGGAAGAACAGGAAGAAAGGCAGAGATGGAGAGAGGAAGAACGGAAGGATTTTGCAATGTTAAATGTGCTCTGTGAGATGATTCTGCAAATAAAAGGTAGAGATTGTATTTGGCTGTAAGTCTGTCTGGTGATGAAATGATCCCCAACTAGGATATACAGCATTTCCTTGCTTGAAAAGAGAAACATCAGTGTAAAGAATCTGGCATTTGACTGGCCCCACCTCACCTCTGCAGCTCTCCTCCTGTGCCTCTCCTTTGGATAGATACCCTATTCATTCCAGCCCGAGAACTGTCCACATCATCCTCAGGTAAACAGAGTGCACTCACTGCACCCTCAACACAGCAAACATGTCAGTTCCTACCCAATGCCGTAAGGGCTTGGGATCTCAACAAGTCTTGCACGCTATTAAGACCACGAGCTGCTGGTAGGTGATTGTTCATGCCCTTCTCCTATCCCAGGAGTTTTTTGATTCTGTGAGCACTGTCTAGGGACTGTCGGGGGACCTGGCAATAATCATGGCTCTGCCCCAAAGAGACCATGTTTCCTTAGGGGGAACGACCTTCTACTGATACATATGGAAATCCTGTCAGAAAGATCCTATCCCTGGGAGCCCCAGCATGGTCGATGAGCACTGTGCAAAGATCATCACTATTCTGAAATGTCTTATTTACAGCTTTCACTGTAGAACTCCTTCCTTCCATGTGGCATTCTTCATGGTCGGGTGCCAGAAATACACAGACTAAAGAGATCGGACACAAGCTCGTGGTGTAAGGACAAAATTGGTTTACTCTTCCAGCGATGATGATGATGATGATGATGATGATGATGAATAATGTGGCAATCAGTGTTATGATCCATTCCATTGGAAGGAGCTCAAAAAACATTTATTGAATACAAACTGCCTACCTACAAGACACACTTAAACTATGAAAATACTACAAAACCTAACCAAGTTTCCATCACAAATAAAATAGCATTAATAATCATGTCATTTCATGGTGCATCTCTGCAGAGAATTAGATCCTCTTGTTTTTAAACACAAAAGGGACTGAAAGACATCAAAGGCATATACCAGTGGTATATTCTAGTAACCAGATCTTCCCATGGTTCTTAAAATTATTATTCTTTCTGAACAACAGAGTAGCAACAAAATCACTCTGAGCCTGGTTTTGAGGCTGGCTGAGGAAAGAGAAACAATGTGCAGAAGATAAGGACCACACGAGCTTCTGTCTGATGGGAGAGATGCTGTCACAGCCCTGGGTGGGAAGTGCTGGAATGCTGTTTGCTGCACTCACGGACTGTGTGACTCATTTGGCATTCAGCACGTGCCTCCTTGAACTGTGGTGCCTTTTCATGGCCCTCTCCAGGCAGGCAGTAAACTTCTCAGATATGTCTTTTACCCTCAGCCCTTAACACAGGGTTTAACATGCAGTAGACAACTAATAAATGTTTGTGTTGAGACATGACAAACTAGGTACCTTCTGGCGCGCGTGCACGCACACACACACACACACACACACACACACACAGATAAAAGACTGTCATTTCCTATAGTTATTCCAAAAGTAATTCTTTGAACCTGATCGCATGTCTCTTCAAACAGCTTGCTTTCATTACTATTCCTGTTAAAATATGCTGCCCATCCTAAAGCCTGCACATTAAACATGTTTACCTGTGAGCAGAGGACAGACCCAAGTGGGACCTGACACATCCAAGCCCTGAGGATATCTGTTTCTGATAATTAGTAGATAGTCAAAATGAATTAACACTGAAATGACAGAACAGTGGCAGAGCATGCATGGTCTATGCAGTCACGGGAGAATTTTGAAGGCTGTGAGAAACTCTAAGAAGACACAAGTCTTGAGACTTCAGTTTCTTCAAAACACAGAATTGTTCCTGGAATGTGCTTTCATGCCCCTCCTAGGTGTAGAGGATAGGAGTGAATTTACTTTGGACTATTCATTACAATTGGCTAGTGTTATTTATTTATATGCCTCTATGGAAAAATCATGTATTTGCCATGTGCTGCTTGTCCACCATGTGTGGCTTGTATTTGTGACTATACACTTTACTCATGTGACTCTGCTTAATACTTGGAGTATAAATAGTCTGATGCTCTGAATAAAGTTGGCTATTGTGTGAGGCTCCATTCTCCCAGGTCCCACCGCCTCTAGAGTGGTGGACAGAACAGAATCCAATCCTTCCTAATAGATTAGCAGGTGACTGTGACCTTGCAGAACTTCAGTCAAAAACATAACTATAGTGCAAATTCCCACCAAAAACCCTGAACAAATGAACTAGCTCAATTTGGCTTTTTGATTGTTTGAATGTGGTATATAATAAATACCAATAGGCATCTCCTGAATACTAATAGGTACTAATGGGCTTACCCATCTGTAATTTTAATGACTTTACTATAATGTTCTATAACATATATAAGGCAACATTTAAAATACAAATATGCATTGAAAGTATATAACCTAAAAATGTTTATTATTTCATTGCTTGGTGGTGGCGCATGCCTTTAATTCCAGCACTTGGGAGGTAGAGGCCAGTGGATCTCTCTGAGTTCAAGACCAGCTTGATTTACAGAGTTCCAGAGCAGCCAGGACTACACAGAGAAAGCCTGTTTCAAGAAAAAAATGTTTATTATTTCAATGGGCACAGAGATCTTAAGTGGGTATTCCACTACATGTATTACTGAGACAAACTCAGCATGTTCAGAACTTTGCACAGGTTTCTGGGCTTATAAAAAGCGAGGCAGAGGGATGGGAGAACACAGCTCAGGCTCTTCAGGTTTTAGTGTAGACATGGGCAGCACTGTGTAGACTGCTACCTCTGGTCCTTGAGTGTCTTCACTGCTTTACGTGGAACCATGTTGTCCACTCAGTTCTTACGTCACTTTGAACCTGTCAGCATGCCTAGGACTACTCTAACATGTGAAGTACAGCAAAGTGCTACTCCAGAGCCAGGCAGCCTGGGTCACTCTTGCCCGGTGCACACTGTGAACCTGACCCAACCAACTCACTAGGCCTGCTTCCTCATATTAAAATAAACTGGATAGCTGAGACTGGTGGATGGTCAAATTCAGTGAGTATCCAAACTTTCTAGCAATGTCTATGACAAATGCAGAGCCCTCCCCAAGGTGATTTGGATTCTTGCAGAATTGGGGTAGCAACCAGAAATCCGTATTTCTCATGTTCATCTTCCCTTATTCCTCACTAGGGACTCTGATGGGTAAGGGCTGGGGCTGGCTCCTGGTTTCTCTGTGACCTACTTCCAAAGTCCCTTCAAGCTCTAAATGACAGTGCAGAAGACATATTACTCAGTGAAAATCATAATTCATTGCATGCCTTCCAAAACTAAAGTTTCAGTTTTTAGTCAATTTCTAGACATCAGTTATGGAAAAGCACCCTGGGCTCGGTCTAGAAGTGTTGATTCCCCACACTACAGATGGAACTGGGGATTTGCACATGCTCTGTAAGAGCTCTACCACCAGCTACACCCAGAGCATCCTCATTGCTACTAGGAAGCCTCCTATTCAACTGAGAAAGAATTAAAGCTTTTTAGCCCCGATCCAACGCACTTGCCTTTGAGAGAGCACAGTGTGGTTGGGAGGAAGACAAGAGGCTACTGACCTGATAGAGACTCACTGTCCTTCCAAACAGCACATCTCCTCTGCCTCCAGAAGGAAGCCCTGCTCTGTTGATTGACAGCGAGATTTCCTTTACTGTCATACTGCAGGTCAGGGACTGAAAGTGTCTGAAGCAATTTCCCAAGAAGAGGCACAATCTGGGATTTTAATTTATCATTGTGAGGTTTTCAACAGGGGAAAGAAAGTGTGCTTTCTTAAAAATGACTGTTAAGAAACTTTTCGTCAAGAGTGCCAAAAGTGGACTCTGAAAAGCAACATTATGGGAAAAAACAGAGTTGCAAAGCAGACAGACAATAATTAATTGAAATAACTAATTAGGGCTTATTTACATATATTTTATGTACTTTCAAACAGATTTTCAACAACATTTCTAAATTCAAGGGCGTCTGTGGAAGGGGACACTCTACATGTTGGATCAAAGCAAATGCATTCTCCTAGGTTCTTTTTGAAACTCTGAGTGGTCAATTCATAAGAACAAAAAACTATCTCACAAGAGAACTCACTGGCTATTTTTTTTTTTTTTTTTTATTGCTTCTCACCCCACTTCACATCTTTAATGAA